GGTCCTACCGCGTTTACGCCAGGACCGCGGCCAGAGTGGCCTTCAGAATCTGTAGCAGTGTTCTGAAGGCCAATTATTTATTTACTTGTTTAAATTCCATAAAGTTTCCTTTTAAATAGATCATGTATTGGTTTGTGTGTCCATTGCTTACATAGTAGATGATTTAGTGTATAGAGTTTAGCTTATACACCGAAGATTAAATCATCGGTTCTTGTAAGACATAAAAGTTAATGTTCACAATCTAATGATGGAATTGGACAAATCATCGGAATGGTTTTAGTACAAGATTAAATGTAATTTATCTTGATTATGGGAATAGGTCTAATTTCAACTTCTTGTGCTAATACATTTGTATGTATTGAACGGATCAAGTAGAGATAAGTATTTTATACTAACTTTATAAAATAATTTCTCTAGTCCATTTAATGTACTTATACTCTTAATCCTGATATAATTATTATTAGCTGTGTATGTCACTTGTTGTTTTGATTTATTAAAAGGCGAGATTCTTTCGTGAGTCAATAAGCCTGGTAAATTGGATAACAATGATATACATTGGCGAAGTAATAATTAGTTGATGGAATCCATGTCTCGATTTTGAGATTGATGATACTCCTTTATGAAAGCTTATAAGTTTTCATGTGTAAACCCGGCCGATGGATTTTGTATCCGACACATGAACTAAGTTAAGTGTAAGTCTAAAGGAAGTAATCAATAAATTAAATAGTCAGTAATTTAATTTGATTGATTAGTATCTGAATTTTAACATGGGGAGTTAAATAAGGTTTTATGGAAGAATTTCGAAATTGAACTAAGGAGTGCAATTACGAATTTTTAGTGGAATAATTCGTAATTTATTATGGTAGAAATTAATTTCAAATTTCGAAATTAATTCCATAATAGGAAGCCTTGTTAATTAAATTTTGTGGTCCCTACTGTGCCTGAATAATAGGAAATAAAGGAAACCTTTCCTTGGTGTAAGAAGAAAACCTAACAGGTTTTGGAAAAGTGTTTTGACCTAAAAAAAACGCAGCTATATATATATGGTATATAGCTGGTCGTTTTTGACACAGAAAAAACACACGTTTTTCTTCCTTGAATTTCGCCCACCCGAAGTTCTCTGTTTTCCGGTTTTTATTTGGGTAACACAGTAGAAGACTGTGGAAGGTGGCTGAGATCTTGCAATTCTGGAACTGGAGAAGGATATCGATTTGCTTTGTTCACGCTTCAAGAGGTAACTCGTATAATCTCCGTATGTACTAATTGTTTAGATTACACGTGATTATGATGCTATGTTTGCTTCCGCTGCGAAATATGATCCAACAAATTGAACATACCTATTTTCGTACTAAGTTATATCACAGATATTTGTGTTAATTTGCACTGCTAAACCAATACGACATACTGCCGCTGCATAATGTGACTCCAAACATGATAGAAACAAGTCTAGTTAAATGACAAGATACAGCTATTTTACACTGTTATTTGACCAGTAACCTACATGTTTGTTTGTCAACCAACAAGTTTGGAAATTTAGACGTAGTTAATTGATAATATGGTGTATACGCCAGGGTCTGAATGGATATTTGAAAACTGACTAAACCGATCGAATTGTACCGGACCGAACCGATTTTTAGGTTTCTTTTAATAAAATCGTAGGTTTTTATATAAATTTATAACCATACCGATAATTAGGGTAGGCTTTTTAGTTTATGAAAAAAAACCGAAAAAAAAAACGAACCGTACCGAATAAATTTGCATGTGAAAAATATATTTATATATTAAGTTTAAAGATAATAAAACAGTAAATTTTCCTTGGGTCTTAGAATTATGAAAACAATTACAAGCCAAAAAGTAATAAACTCAAAATCATAATTCCCAAACCTATTATGCTACGCTCATTGAAACTAAATCATTTCCAACATATTCACTAGCAAGATACAAGGTATTGTAGTGATTATGAGTAGCAAACTACAATGTATTGATTGCGTTTTATTTCGTATGATTCAGATTTATCTTTTTGAATAATTAATCTTCTATAGACTTTATTCTTGAGTCTCAGTTCCAGCTTCGTTAATATCTTTCCACTCGATTGCTTTATATTTCTTTATTTTTATTTGTTTAGTTTCTTTTATGCTGTTGTAGAGTAGTTGATGGATCCATACTCTAGCCATCTTTCATATTTTCTTAATTCATAACCCTTTAAAATGTAAAAATATCTAGAGAGTTTTGCTAAGTTCTATAAAAGTACGTATGTTATTGCATTCTACTTCTACTAATGATTTTTATATGACATTTAAAAAAAATACCGAAAATTAACCGAACTGTACCGATACCTAAGAGAAACCGATATGATTGGGACGGTTTCGAAAAGTCTAATATTGGTTATACATAATAGAATAACCGAAAAATTGGTATGGTATAAAATTTATAAAATAACCGACCGAACCGAACCATTGACACCCTATATACGGCATTGCCATATGTGATCCGCCTCTTTTCTGAATCCTGCGCATAGCGGGAGCTTAGTGCACCGGACTGCCCTTTACGGCATTACCAGTTGTCCACTTCTCCGATCTAATTAGTCACGTCATGCACGGTTCATTTTGTCAATAATATCATTTTGACACTTTTGTTATAATTGCACTGATATTAAGGTAAGGTGATGCAAAATCGTTTACTTTTCTTTTCTTCCAAGTTAGATGTATGGCCTTGAATTGAATGGCTACTTGTACGCATGTGTACAAAGATTTCCAGATCAATGCGTCTGAAAGATTTTTTTTTTTTTTTTTTTAATAATCGTGGTGTCCGGGTCAGCTACCTGTCACCTCCCACCAGCAATGTACTAGGTAACTATATCCACCAAGATTTGAATAGATGAGAAGAAATTACCTAGTATTTTTGCCTCCGCTTGAATTTAAACCTGACACATGATATTCACGCACTTCATTGACCGCTAGGCCACACCCGTAGGTGGAAGATTGACTTCCAATTCTACGCAGCTAGTTATTGGGATATATACATGGTCCTAATATGTTTACTTCGTGCCAAAGATAACCAAATATAGCTAATGCCCAGAAAAAGCTTTTAGACTCGGTCCATAATGATATACTACATTGCTATAGTCGTTGCCCTTGAATTCTGCATTCTTTGCTCTTGCTATGTCATGAAGGTGACTTTATGTCCAGGATTGGCTATTCTTAGTTTAGCTTTAAGGTTACGTTTGGTACGGTGGATAAGCAAATATAATCTTGGAATAAAAATTTAGTATTCCTTATCCTTTGTTTGATTACTAACCCTGAATAAGTTATTCTAAAATTAAAAATAGTATCGGGATAATTTAGACCTGCCAGAGGCGGAATAATAATCCTAGGATAAAGCAGCAAAATTGACAATCACATGATTAATACAACATACCAAACAATCAATAAAAAATAATATCATGATAACTAATCTCAATATAACTAATCTCAACATAACTAAGCGCAACATAACTTATCTTTCAAACCATACAACCCCTTAAAAGATATAAACTTGCTGCAGGCGTATGTTGTGGCAAACAACTATTATCGAATCTATTTTCTCAAACTTAATAAGTTTTTCCAATTATTTTTCTCCTTTTGTGCGTCATGTTTGAATTTGAATAATAATCATAGACTTCCCTTAAAATACTCAAAAGTTCTACTTCTCTATAGAAGTCAATTGTTTCTTAAGCCAATAAGTCTACAACAGACATATTTAGCAAACTCATGAAAAAGTCAAACTGCATTCCAAAAAAATATTCACAAACTAAAGTCTTATATTGCTGCTATTAGAAATGTCATCTTTACCAAATTAACTGCTGAGAGATTACCTTTGTATACAGGTGGATTATGACTCCTGCATAGTGCTAGCAAAATAAGCCCATAATTTGTCAAACCTCCCAATCCGCCCATATTTTAGTGAATAAAATTTATAAATAGCTATTTTTACTGTTGGTCAATCAAATTTAGCCAGATAATCAAAAGTCAACTATATTTAGCCAGTACATTAGCACCGGAACAATTTGTTGACAAAAATACCCCTACTCTGTTTATAAAAGTTACGCGACATGACCTCATACTCTATTTCAGCAGAATCTAGCGGCGTCAATCTACAGATTGAAGTAAACTCTCACAATTATTGTTCTGATTTTTCAAATTTTGTGGTTTAATCTTCTTATTCTCCTCATTACGTCAATCTACTATTCTTCTCGTTTGTAATTGAGATCGTAACTAATAACATCTGCATTGTTGTATATTTTTATAAATTTTATATGAAAAACGTTTATTCTATGCTTGATTGTGTAATATATAAATGTAATTTAATTTACAGTACTTTATGTTGTCATTAAACATCGAAAATGTTTTAGTTGATTAAAAAAACACAGTTAAAGTAATGGCAAATGAATTAATTGCAGAACAAAATATCCAGTATAATATGCTGGACCTTTCTGAATTGATATATAAGACTTACAAACTTCCAGGATATTCCTGGATATGATACGGAGAGTATCTGTGATTCAAATCCCAAGAAAATATTAAATGTTTAAGGTTCACCTACTATCCTGATTAGATATGTTAAAACTACAGACTCTGCAGCATATAGTACTGGAGGTATCTTTAATTCAAACTAGTAAAAATATTGCATAAAATGGTGTAGAACAAAACTCCAGTATAATATGCCGGACCTTTCTGAATTGATATGTAAAACTTAAAAACTTCCAGCATATTATACTGGAAGTATCTGTGATTCAAACCAGAAGAACACATCTAAGTTTTTAAGGTTCCCCCTACTGTCCAGAATAAAATGTTGGACTTTTGTGATTAGATATGTGAAAACTACCTTTAGGTAGAGAGACTGTTTCCGGTAGACTCTCGGCTCGCGAAACACCACTTGATTACATGGATAATAGTAAATCAGAGAACACTCCAAGCAGAATTTTGCAACCATTTTAGGTTTTATCCTCATAACATTAGCAGCACATTCCAATTCATGAGAAAAGTATCCTAATTCTAGCAGACAAAGAAGATTATCAAACTCCTTGAAGAAAATTGCCTCATATTCTTATTTCCTTTATTACATTGGGGAACTTTTTTCCTTGGTCCAGTAATATCACTTGCAAAATCATTATTGTACTAAAACTACACAGATCTTTGGTAATCTGAAGGTTTATAAGGGGCAAAAAGTTCACTCAACATTTTTTTCTTTCTTCTTGGATTCAAATTCATGTCCCTGCACAACAGATCATTGCAGTATATTTGTAACAACACACTTACACAGGCTCTTTTGTAGTATTTACAAGCGTAACGTTGCATACACTTCTCCCATCTCAGGACGTCCTCTTCCATTTCCGCTATTGTTGGCAGCTTAAATTTCCCTGCAAGAAAATGAGCTAACCATTTGCTTTGCATCTCAGTGGTGTATAGTATTGCAGGGCTCTCAGAATACCCAAGTATCGCGAGCTGTGGAATACGAGGGTGAATGCATTCGCGGTAGAAGGGAGTTGAAGAGCCAGTAATGCATTTCTGAAAATAGGTTGAGGTGAAAATATTACAAAGCTTATCATCACTTCTGTATCCAGTTGCAAAGATGACCAAGTCTGTATTCAAAGGAAGATTCTCCTCGTCGATGATGAGTCCGTTTTTACAAAAGCAATAACTTTTCGACTTCTTTAAAATGAGGCTTCCTTCTTCAACTCTCTTATAGAAATCAGCTGGCAATACTGTGAACATGCAAGAAGATATCTGTCTAAGAAAACCATGGTCCGGAATCATATTGTACTTCTTCAATGGGTATATCCATTTGAGATAACTTTCCGCAAACTTTGAAAATATCCACAACTGAAAGTAACAAGCATATCCATCAATTGTTATACGATGCTAAAAGTAAGACAACGGTAGAATTCTGAATACAACTAAGACTAAAGCAATGTGAGGCAAAATTAAGGAAGTTATTACCAGAGGTGAAAGTAAAATGGCCAAGAACCAGAGGAAAAATCCTTCGCGGGGCTTATGGATCATTAACTCTGAGAATCTATTCAAATTCCGAAAAGAGAGTTTCAGAAAGCCCTCTGGTACTGTCCAATGTACCCTCCTGAGTAACAATGTACAGGGATGTTTCACTCCTGAAATGAAAAAAATTATAAAGTTCTTTTATCAGTCCAAAGAAGTTTGCTGCAAACTAGTACATTATTCTGTTCCAAATGGCATAGCCAGCATTCGCGTACCAGACCATGTCATCAATTATTGAAAATTCAAACATCTCTAGCAAATAATTCATTAGAGGCAGAAGATCTAATGGCAAAAAATGAGACTGGTCCTAGGCTGGCAATATCTGTTTAGTGTATCCAGTTAATAACTAAGTAGTAGTACCATTTAGTCTGGCAACTTCTGCTGCAAGATCTATTGCTGATTTTTGGAATCCAATAACAGTGACGCGCTTATCTTTGACCATTGCAGTTGCATTAACACTTCCCATTTCAGCATAATCCATGGCGTGTATAACCTTGCCATTGAACACCTCCGGCCCTTTATTCATAGGAAAGTGAGGGATATTTGGCAGGCCACTGAACTTTCCAATGCATAAGATTATGAAATCAACTTCATAAACCTACCATTTCACATATTAGAAAATGAACATCATGCATGTCAAGAAAGTAATACAAATATTCTCTGTTAAAAATAGAATAGACTGAAAATTGTGACAACAAAGACATCCCAGAAAAAGTTACACTTTGCTTGAAAAAGGTGTTGTTTTAAATACTTCCCAACAGAGAAAATTCTGAACCAACAAATAATCCATCGGTTTCATTTTATATGTCAGTGTTTGACTGGACATGAAATTGTTAAAAAGAATGACTTTTGGCATATGAAGGAGAGCCTTGGAGCAATATGGTAAAGTTGTCCCTGTGTGACCTATAGGTCACAGGTTCAAGTCGTGGAATCAGCCGCTGATGCAGGGGAAGCCGCCTACATTACATCCCTTGGGGTGCGGCCCTTCTCTGTACCCTATGTGAACGTGACATGCTTTGTGCACCGGGCTGCCCTTTAATGACTTTTCGCATATACCAAAGTACCCTATAACTAATACTCTAATAGTACATGGGCGGAGCTAGAAGCCCATATGCAGGTGTGGCCGAGAACACAGTAACTTTTGCTCAAACAATGTATTTGCATTAAAAGATTCATTAAATTTATACATATATTGAATTTACAACCCAGTTATTAGCAATTGAAGTCGACGTTTTAAAATTTAGAAACCATAAAGTTGAAATTCTAGCTGCGCCAATGTCATTCAGGTAAAATGAGGTACCATTCCTTTTGAATAGACTAAAGTAGAAAAAGTACAGGAAGTAGTATTTACCTTATGTGGATGCAAGGAACGAAGGAGATCCATTACTGTGACAACCCATTTGCATTTAGGAGAGAATGCTTGGCCTGTACCACCCCACAGATTCTGACAACCAGCAGCCATTTCTTCACCATCATCTTCACAACAGTAATCAATACTAACCACCTTAGTATTAAACTGAATATGTTTCAGGATGTTGAAGTGAAGAGCATAGGATTCAATATAATCCTTAACTTGATAATGATTAGGAAAAGTTTCTGTGACAGACGTTGGCCATGAAAAATCTGAGAACTGGTAAAGATCTTTAGGAGTTTGAAGTTTAGTTGACTCAATTGTATTGGACCAAACTCCGCCAATACAATTTGAGGATTCAAAAATTATAGGATTAAATCCCTGTTCTAGTGCGTGTTTGCATGCAACAAGACCACTTATTCCGGCACCGATGATTCCTATTTGCTTCTTGTTTTTTTCAACATTGATTTCTCCGTTTACGTGTGTCTCCATGTTGAAAAGACAATAATACCCTAATTCCAAACTCCACAAAAAAGGAAATTGGAGAATTGCCTACTATTTGATGGCTAAACTTATCAAAGGACAACTGAGATTCTTATACTTGACTCTAGAGCAACCGACTCAACATACGTCATTGAAATCAATTAATTTTGTGACTCTTCATAAATTTATTTTTAATTTTACGATCTTAATTTTATATGCGAGAGATTTACTTTTACATCTAAAAAGTTTATTTTCTTAATTTAAAATTATAAAGGGGAATGATGTATAAATAGCACCAACTTTAGTGGGTGTTTGGCCATAAGAATTGTAAAATTAAAAAAAATCAAGTGAAAATGGTATTTGAAAATTAGAGTATGTTTGGACATTAATGTAATTTGGGTTGTTTTTGGAGTTTTGTGAGTGATCTGAGTGAAAATTTTGAAAAATAACCTTTTGGAGTTCTTCAAATTTTCAAGAAATTAAAAAATTCATCTTCAAGTGAAAATTAAAAATTTTATGGCCAAAGATTGATCTCGAAAAAAATGAAAAACTTCTTACATCCAAACGGGCTCACACGCTATAATACTATATAAAAGAATTTGACGAAATTTACGGGTTCGTTAGTCCCTTAAATCTGCCGGAAAGGGTCGCACCTAGAGGAAGCGTGAAGAGACGTCATTACAAGTGAAATTTCAAACTTAAACATATCACGGCCTCATCTTTTGATTCCAAATTTCAGCCTTAGATGTAGGCAGAAGGCAAGGTTTACAAACTTAGTGTATGGAGTTATGTCATCAAAAGAGTTGGTACCGTTGGGAAAATGTAGAAGGTGACAGAAACAAAATTAATTGACGAGATTTTGAGAGTTGATGAATTGTTTTTCTTTAGAAAAAGTTATTTATCACAGTACCAAGATTGGCAATATGGGTGTTAAACGGGTCGGGTTGACCCGGTTCCGGACCGGCCCGGACCGGTAAGAGGGGGCTGGATTGGGCTGGGAGGGGGGTTGGGGGGCTGGGCCGGATTAATTATTTGAAACGGGTAACCGGCCCGGTTGAACCCGAAAGAGTTACTGTTCACTCTTACCGGGTTAACCGGCCCGGTTCAACGGCTACTTTTTTTTGTTTTTTTTTTTAATTTTCGAATTCAGTGGGCCCCACAGACCGTTGGCAACGATCAGGCCATTTTTTGGTCCGTTGGCCAACGGAAATATTGCACAAATAGCCTATTTTTTTTTTAAATTTTTAACCCTTTTTCAATTTACAAAACTAACCTTCTCTAAAACTATAAATACCCCTCCCCCCCTCTTCTTCATTTCTTCACTCAATATTCATTTCTCAATCTCAATTTCTCTGGTTCTCTCATTCTCCAATTTGCAAGACTTCAAGTCTTCAATTTATCATTTCATCTTCTAATTTTATTTGTCTCTCTTTTCTTGAATTTAATTTATCGTGTTTTGTCATTCGGAATTTGAAGTTTGAACAATTGAAGTTCAAAATTGAAATACTTGCTTGACGTTTGTTCGTGGTAACATCGGATTTGCGTAATCAAGTGCTCAATTTATTGTCGAATTCGGTGCACTCCCTCCAACTCTTTCTCTTATTTACTATTTTAATTGCATATTTAATTTTAGCTTATACTTTAATTTTTACAATATGTTGAATGCTGCTAAAAGAGCGTGTAGAAAAGTTACTGGAAGGGGAAATAAAAAAAGAGGTAGTCCTTCAGCATCTGGTAGTAATAGTAATACCCAATTTATACATGTTTCCGAAACATCGCCTAATGATAATATAGATTATGAACAATTGCAAGAAGATTTTGGAATAGAAGATAATGAAATAGGAATGGAAGATGAGATACCAACTACACCTACTAGTGTTGGAGTTGGTAGTGTTGGGGTTGCTACAAGGGGTGGTGGTCGTGGCACTAGTAGTAGACCACCTGTGGCTCCGACTACTAATCGTAGAAAAAGAAGTAAGGTTTGAAATTTTTTTGAAATAATAGAAGGTACTGATAGAGTTAAATGCAAACTTTGTAAATGTGATTTTAAACATTTAACTGGAGGAAATTTAGGGGGGACTGGGACGCTTAGTAGACATATGAGAACTGAGCATCCCATAGAATGGGGCGCTGATGGTGATGGAAATCAAACAACTATTAACCCTACTACTGGAGGTCTAGTGAAATATGATAAAATGAAGGATCGTGAGGAGTTAGCAAAAATGATTGCTTTGGGATGTCGACCTTTTTCTTTAGCTTCTTCATCATATCTTATTATGTATATTCAAAGGATTTACAATCCTTTATTTAAAGGTATCCCTAGAAGTACTTGTAGAGCTGATATCTTTAGACTTCATGGACAATATCAAACATACATACGTTATTTGTTTAGCCACCTTCCTTGTAGAGTTTCTCTAACTTCTGATATTGGCCATGCTGTTAATGAAAATGATTATTTGACAATTACATGCCATTGGATAGATGATACTACTTGTATGCAAAAACGTATTATCGCTTTTAGATATGATGAAGATCAGAGTCATACTGCTGCGTTTATAAGTAGTACTATTTGTGAAGTAGTTGAATTTTATAATCTAAAGCAAAAAGTATTGTGTATGTCTTTTGATAATGCTTCTAACAATGATGCCGCAATTTCAATATTAAAACTGCATTTGCATCCACCTCTTGATGAAATTTTTCATGTTACGTGTGCATGTCATGTTTATAATTTAATTGTTAAAAGTGGCCTTGATTTATTTTCAACTGAGATTACTCATGTTAGAAGAGCAGTTGGTGTTATTCAAGGAAATAATAGACAATCTAGAATAAAGGAATTTAAGAATAAGTGTGTCCAGTATAACCTTAAACCCAGATTCATGCCAGACGAAATTGTTACTAGATGGAATTATACACATATATTTTTAGAATGTTGCTACAAATATAGATTCCCAATAACTGAAGTTGCTAATGCGCATTGTACTGATCCAAACCGTATGTTAACAACTAGTACTTGGGAGGTCATTAATGATGTTGTTAGATTTTTACATAAATTTTATACAGCTACTATTGAGTTTTCTGGAGTATATTACCCTACTGTTACTATGGCTTTAGTACATATAGCTGAAATTTCTTTTCTATTCTTTGAATTTAAGAAGAAAGAACAATATAAGAATGTTGTGGAAAAAATAAAAGCAAAATTCAAAAAATATTTCTTTCCAATTCCTCCGATTTACTTAATGGGTGTTGTTTTAAATCCTTCTATTAAGATATCTGATTATCACCAATTAATGAATGCTTTATATACTTATATGGAGATTGGACCAACTGAAACCCCAAATTTATATGTTTCTATGAACATGCTAAATGAGTATTTACAACAATTATATAATTATTATGCAAATGTAATTGATGATGCTGCTCGTACTGTAGGCAATGTTAATCCCACTATGCATTGTAGCACTTCTGCTACTGTTGATAATGAAGAAGGCCTTGATAGTTTTAATATTTTTTCTACATTTTCTAACACTCAAACCAGTAGTAGGAACATTGATGAACTTCAATTCTACTTGCAGAAGCAAAAAGAGCCTCGCACAAAGGAATTTTCACCGTTGGGATGGTGGCATGAGAGTAGAAAGCAATTTCCTGTTCTTTTCGCTATGGCTCGGGACGTGCTGAATGTGCCAATTTCTACTGTTGCATCAGAGAGTGCATTTAGCCAAGCAAGACAACAACTTGGAGACACCCGCCACTCATTGGGAAGCAATGCTTTGGAAGTTTTAGTATGTTTCAGAGATTGGATTAGATCGGAATGAAGAAATCAAGGATGTGAAGATGTTGAGAGCCCAGAAGACGAGGAACTTGGAGATATATTAACACATGGTAACCCATCCGAATTTAACACTCCAGAAGAAAGTCAATCGGTGCATATTGATTATGAAGAACTTACTAGGGCAATGCAAAACCTTTGAATTTACTTGTTGTTAAAAATATAAACCTTTCAATTTGTAAGTTTGAATTTTTGAATTATGAAATAAAAGTAGCACTTGCAATAAGTGCAATTTTTTCCCATCTTCATTGTATTCTTTATGTTAGTACTTTGTATTAATATAACTTACAATATTTAAACAAAAATCCAAAAAAAAAATTAAAAATACACTAAACCCGGTCCGGCCCGGTCCCCTCAACCCGTAACCCTTACGGTTCAATTTTACCCAGATGAACCCGAACCCGTTAAATCCGTTAAGAACCAACCCGGAACCGGCCCGGACCGTAACCCGTAAGTCCAAAAAAACAGGCCCGGCCCGGCCCGGCCCACCCGTTAAACACCCTTAATTGGTAATAAGTTCAAGTAATATCAATTAAAGGATACAACAAAATTTGATTTGTACATCTTTATCCAAAAAAAATATTTGATTTGTACGTACTTCAGCAACTAGCAATAATGAAGTACTACCTACTTCTCTTATTTGCAGGTTTATTTCTTTATTTCACTTGTATAGCTACTTTTTGTCTTTAGCAAAATCTTGCAATTCTAGTTCTTGTTAAGGTTCCACGAGAGAGAAGTTTTAGTAACAAAGATTAGAATAGTTATTTTTGTGTCATGAACCTTCATTTTGATTATCTTTTAGAAGTGATTTTTGTGCGATGAACCTTTACTTAGATAATTATCAATGAAATTTTTCCGGACCAAGAGACTCCATCAAAGACATGCATAGAAAACATAGAAAAGCTTAGGTTTCGACTTGTAAGCTTAGTGAAATTAAAATTGAAGATGAGGGTATTATAGTCATTTTGTTTCTAAGCAAGGTGTGTTATGTGTCTTGTTCCTTTACACCCAACACATACTCACATTCTTATGCCTTCGCTTTCTTGCTCTCTCCCGAATTTTCTAGTTTGCTGTCAATTTCAATCTCAATACAAAATTATATATCTCTTTCTTGTTTATTCAAAGTTTTATTTTACTTTGATTTCAAGTCAGTTGAGTTCTGGGGTTTATACGATATATGTATGTATAAGATTTATATTTTATTCCATTTCAGAATTGGCGATGAAAACATACCTAATGGCCTT